TTCCAAATTTCCAAATTCTCATCTTCCAAATTTCCAAACTTTCAAATTCCAAATTTCCAAATTCTCATCTTCCAAATCCCCAAATCTTCAACTTCCAAATTTCCAAATTCTCATTTTCCAAATCCCCAAATCTTCAACTTCCAAATTTCCAAATTCTCATCTTCCAAATCCCCAAACCTTCAAATTCCAAATTTCCAAATTCTCATCTTCCAAATCCCCAAACTTTCAACTTCCAACCCCTCGAATTTTCATCTTCCAAATTCCCAAACCTTCAACTTCCAAATTTCCAAATTCTCATTTTTCAAATCCCCAAACCTTCAACTTCCAAATTTCCAAATTCTCATCTCCCAAATCCTCAAACCTTCAACTTCCAACCCCCCAAATCATCTCCCAAATCCCCAAACCTTCAACTTCCAAATCCACGACCCCTCACTATATCGACGTCCTCCACATCAATCATCTCCCTAACGAAATAATCCTCGTCACCTCGCGAAACAATGAGCTAAAAATAATTAGCAGGTCTAACGTAATCCGTTGTCGCATCAGTTTCTTTCCGTTGGTTGTTAAATTTTCTCGATTATCCGGCAGATTCTCCGACTTTCGTATCCTTCGGTAACTAAGGACGATACCCGGTCGGTTGTTCGGTGTCGTTCGAGAAACTAGAAGGTTACCGGTTACTCCTGAAATAATTGCCTCCTTTGAATTAGCATTACAAAAGAGGAAGGCGGTACGTATGCGAGTACGCGCTCGTTAAGACGCCAAGTTTTGTTTCACTATCTGCCGGCTATTGTTTCAACATCGCCTATCCGCCTGGGCCCGGAGCTTCCCTTCTCCTTAGACTCGGCAAAACCTTCGGGACCGATTACTGGAAATTCGGAATAACCCCTCTAATATAAGCATTGCTGAAATTGCGGTAATTAGAGACGTAATTGTTGCGAGACCGTGGACTCGATGTATAATGAGATGAACATTCGCGGTGGAAAGCTTTGCGGAATCTAACCTCAAACGTTACTGGTATAATAATCTACTTTTGTAATAGAGTATAATAGTATCTACTTGTATAATAGTGTAAAACTTTGCATTAAATATGAGCATCTTTTATCTGTATGAATTGTTTTTTGATGAAAGTGCAGTTCATGTTTAGAGGGTGCTCTTCGGCCGCCATTTTGGATTTAATATGTACTCTTCTTTTAGAACAATTTTTGAGCAAGTTGTATTACTTGTGTGATATTTAGAATGCATTGGATATATCTTTCGTTGGAGATATTTTTAAATATTTTGTAAAACTGTAATTGTACAAAATCTTATATAAAACTAACTATACAGGGTCTTCGGCCGCCATTTTGAATTTAACGTGTATTCCTTGGGAATTAAAGTGATCAGCTATTGAACTGTATGATCATTTATACTCCTTATATTTAATGTTTCTTAATAAATAAAATTAGATCAATTATTTCATTGTTGTAACTGTAAAATAAGAATTATTAAAAATGAAAAGAAAATTAGTTTTCATACGTCGTTTAGTACACCATTGTTTGCACTAATAAAAGATGCAGGTACATGAAATTAACTATACGAGCTGTGTTAAGTTTTATAAGAAAACATTATATTTAATTAATGTATACTAGTGAATTAAATTGAACATATATCTTAGGACAAATGAACAACAAAGTATCACGCTTGTTCAGTTAACAGAACATTACTCGTTGGTTTCATTAAAATAAAATCCGATTAAAACAAACGGTTGCGAATAAATCTGTACTAATCTCATCGATCATTTTTATTCGAATTAAAGCAAACAACGTTGGATCGTTATCCGTTGCAAAGCATAAAAATCCGAGCTGAAAGGAAATTCAACCCCTGGAACAATCGTACATTTGTCACCCCGCTGCGTCGAATAAAGGCGTTCGTTATCCGAGAGAACAATTGTCTACCGCTTTGTTCACGGAAATGAAAATTCATTAAATCCTGGCTCGTTTTTGTCATGCAGGATCGTCATTGGCGTAGCTAAGTTTGGGATCAAAATGAGACAACCGAAAATTTGTAGATCATGACGAAGAGAATTATACAGAAGAGAATTATTAAGCTTTCAAATTCCATTTCTTTCCTTGTTTTGAAATTTATGTTCTCAAATTTTCAAGTTTCTGTAAAAATTTAAAAATTCTCAAACTTACACATTTGCTCCGGAACAATAAATAGCTTCGAAAAAATTTACAGAACTTTTCAATCAGAAAATTTTAGAGCTGTAACCTCGCAAACTTCTGCAAAGTACCTTCGAGTAACAATAAAAAATAAAAAACAGCAATCATAAAAAAGCTGCGCACCATAAAAATTATAAAAGCGGATCGATAGTGTCAAAATTTCGAAGAGGCAATAAATCATGCATACGGCATTGACACCGTTACAAAAGCGGCACAAAACTTGCACTTACGCCAATGGTGCTCGGAACTGAAAATCAATGAAGACGAGTAATCCTTGAAGATAGTAATCGCGCAAGTTATCATAATCATATCGAAGTAAAGAGTAATCGAGACTGGAGTGAAAGTAACGTCATTATAATACTCATCACGGTCTGTCCAAAGGATTAACCATAAATTGCGCGTCGCATCAAATGCCAACCGGCAACTTAATGACTACCGTAATCATTTTGAAAGTCCGGTGAATCGGTGAACCGTGAGAATGAACAAGATATTCTCTACCGTCTTCAGGGTTACATCATCGAACAGCACTTGGATGCGGCCATTTGTTCTTCCGACAACGAGCCACGTTGTCTGATTGAATGTCACCGAGCCACGGACACCGGCTACAATACAGGACACGCTCGTTTCGATCCCTGTTTAGCGAGTAATGGAAACCCCATTACCATGGCCAAGGGATTTGATTAGGATAATCGATTTCACGGGTAATCACCGGTTATGTTCCATGGAGTGAATCCTTGTACCGCTTTATCGCGATCTGACTGTGAACATTTTAGATCCGATCGATGCTTATTGGTGTCGTTTCATGGGACGAGTGATAAACGTGGGAAATAGCGTCTTGAAAGGACGCGAACGAGATTAGAGATCAATCGTCGGTTTGTAGTTACTTCTGCGGGAATGTGTTGTAATTAACTTACAATATAGACGGGGAGTTTGTGGTAAATGTTTGTTGGTCGTTTTAATTTTATTCAGGAATTCTCAGATATCTGGTTTTATGGATATTTAAGTACATTTGTATTTTATTTTCATGGGTTACTACGCGTTGGATTACTACGCGTTGGATTACTATGCGTTATAGTATTTATAGTTTTATAATTTTGGTCCTTAAATTTTGAACGTGGAACTCGTTGTTGAATCACTCTGTACATTTTCAACCTTACACCGTTCCATATAATCGGATCACCTTTACATTCTTAATTCTATACAGTGTAGATGGTGTGATTTAATCTCCCTGTATATTTCATGTCATTTGAAACAACTTTTATTGTGATAATATGCCCCTTGGTTGTCACGGCTGCCTACGAATTTCAATTGCTTAATTTATTAATAAAAGGTCGATTTAATTGAGAAAATCTTGTTGATAACACGATTTAATTGGGAAACGCTCTTATTGATAACTTGATTTAATTAAGAAACGCTCTTATTAATAACACGATTTACGTTGGAATACTACGCGTCGATTAACTACGCGTTAGATTCCAACGCGTAGAATTACCACGCGTTGCATTACTGCGCGTTGGATTACTACGCGTTGAATATCCACGC